TGCAAAAAGGCTGGGGACCCTTGGTTCAGGCTATATTAAATTTGAACAACCTGACTGAACTTTCTTCAGGATTCAGAGAAGATCCCCAGTACCTCCTTGTGGTACCCCTCTCATTAATTTAACCTTTTTGACATTTCCACTGTATTTCTCAGGCCAACTTGCATTCATTGCCTGTCTCTTTGCTCAATGCTATTGGTACTTCTTTCTCTTGTTATTATTATTATTATTATTTGAGACAGAGTCTTGCACCATCACCTGGGGTAGAGTGCAGTGGTGTCATTGTAGCTCATTGCAACCTCAAACTCCTGGGCTCAAGTGATCCTCCTGCTTCAGCCTCTCGAGTAGCTAGGACTACAGATACTCCACAATACTCTGCTAATTTTTCTATTTTTAGTAGAGATGGGGTCTTGCTCTTGCTCAGGCTGTTCCTCACCTCAAGTGATCCTCCTGCCTTGGCCTCCCAGAATGCTAGGATTGCAGGCGTGAACCATTGTGCCTGGTCTTTAAATTTTCTTTGAGTGATAGGACTTTGGAAAATATATAAATTTTTAATTTAAAATTTTAATTTTATTCATTTCTTTAATTATAACAGTTATTTCTAAGCCAACATATCCATTTTAGACTATAGAGGAATATATAGAATAGTTTAAAAGATCCTATATAAATACATTAAATCACCCACATAGTCCATTCTCTCGTCACTCCCAGTCACTTCCAATGAGGCACTTCCACGTTCTTGTCCTTTTAGGATGCTTCAGGGCCAGCATAAAAAGGATTGTTTAGATGTTCATGCTCACTCTTCCTACTTTGGGCTCTTCCACTACTGTTCTTGGAATGAGAGAAATTTTGCCAAATATTAATCTTTCTCGTAGTTGGTAAAATTGATGACTTCCCTCTACAGGAGAGAGACATGCCGTTCATGCACGTATTCATTCACTAGACCAATATCTAAGGTCTGCTTTATGCCGGAAGTATCAGTCATATATTGCTACATAACAATCACAAATATCAGCATTTATTACTCGTGTTTATTTGGAAGCCCAGCCTAAAGGGTGAGAAACTACCCAGAACAAGTTTGTCTTAGTAATGAGAGTAGCAAGAGAGGACAAACCAAATGGTGCGAGAACATTTGAAGCTTCAGCTTGCATAAGGTTCACTAATGTGCCATTGCCTGAAGTGAGATGTGGGCAAGCACAATGTCAAGGGGCATGGGGAGCATACTGTAGGAGAACTGCAAAGTCACATGACAAAGACACATGGATACAGGGAGGAGTAGTGTTTGGTGCCAGTAATTCAATCTAGTAAACCAGCCATTATGCCATTCTTGGGGCATATAGCCATGTCTGCATGGGTAAATGGACAATTAAAATAGATGCTACAATAATGTAAGTACAGCATTGTGTGTGCAAGTATTCTTCCTAGAAGCCTGGGTCAAACTTGGTGTTCTGGTCTCAAGATATAGCTGTGCCTAGAACTTCTTTTGTTTAGAAAAGCCAGCATGCTCAAGAGAAGCCATGAAACTTCCTTTCTGTTTTCTAGTATCTGCATTTACTTCCTGGTGGTAATGACATCTATATAAACAAATTTTTATATCCAGTACTTGGCCTTGTAAATGAACCCTCTCATTAGGTTCTCATATATGCTGTGTGTGTGTATTATTTTCATATGTATCTATCGAAAGAAGTTATACCGATACCCTGTTTTAACTTCAGCACCTGGATTCATTCTAACCTTAGTCATTTCAATATTATATCTCCCTTCTTGTTTAGTGAGAAAACTAGCTCCCATTAATCCCAATGTATTTTCTTATTTGCTCAGTTTTAGAAAGCACATTACATAGATTCATAATTGCTAACTCATACTACTTGTATAAACAAACCTACTCACTAGAATAGCCAGCAAGTAGTACTTAGCGTCCTCAGACAGGGTCTCTAAGAGGCTGAAGGCAGCTTTTTCCCCAGGGAGGGAGCTTGAGAACCAGGAGGAGGGTCCATGAGTGTGTGTGTGTGTGTGTGTGTGTTTAAAGAGATGAAGTCTCACTTTGGTGCCCAGGCTAGCCTTTTTATTGTTTTGCTCTGTGCCCCTCCCCCAAGGCTAGCCTCAAACTCCTGGGCTCAAGCCATCCTCCCATCTCACCCTCCTGAGTGGCTTAGACTACAGGTGCATGCTACTCTGCCTGGCTCCCATGTGTGCTTATTGTTTGTCTCATAAGTCAGTTCCCTGGGGACTTGTTCAGGCTTTTGCTGGAACCAGTATGAATAGTGACCACTGTTGACTGCTCCAGTTTGGAGCCACAGGTGAGAGTGACTGTCTCTCCTAACGACATGGTCATCAGGCACTCCTAAGTCTCCAGAGCCTGCAAATTGTATACTGAAATAAAAACAGACACATTTTAGGAATGAGAAACCCAGGCAGAGGGATTACTCCAAAGACTAGTCTATGAAATCCCCATAAACCTGTGCAGGGTGTGAGAGGTGGGAAGAGGAGGAGGAAAAGAGTCTAGGCCATGGTACAAAGTGCCAAGGACCCCACTGGTCCCACAGATGAGGCTGAGCTCTCTACTGGATCTTGCATTCCCTCCTAAATGCCCTGGATGAGAGGTATGTGTGTGGTGCAAATCTTTACCACTCCTTTCAGCTGTGTCCTCATCTCAGAAAGCAGCTCCAATTCCAGGAGACAAGCTGGGGAGGTTGTGACCTCTGAGTTTGCCTGATGAAACAACCTTTTACAATGGCCAGTGAGTTCAGAGTCCCTTAAATTGGAAGGCCTTATAGTTACAGACTATGCTTACCTCTGGAGGAAAGCACAGTTCCTCCTGGTTGCTTAAGAGAATGTAAATGGTGATGGGAAATAGGGAAGGTGAATGGTTGTCCATTCTTTTATTCAACTAAGAAATGTTTTTTTTTTTTTTTCTTTGAGACAGAATCTTGCTTTGTTGCCCTGGGTAGAGTACAGTGGCGTCACTGCACAATGTCAATTATAAGGAGTTTGCAATGTCACACTCCTGGGCTCAATTGGTTCTCCTGCCTCAGCCTCCTGTGTAGCTGCGACTACAAGTGTGCACCATGGCCCTGTGCTAATTTTTCTGTTCATAGGAGAGACAGGGTCTCACTCTTGCTCAGGCTGGACTCAAACTCCTGAGGTCAAGCAATTCTCCTGTCTCATCCTCCCGGAGTGCTAGGATTACAGATGTGAGCCACCACTCCTGGCCAAGAAATATTGTTTTAAGTTTTTTGATTTTTCCTACAACTTTTGGCTTATCTTTTACTTTCTTACTTGTATGTTTTGTTGCAGAAAACCTTTTATGAAATTTAATTTATCAATTTTTTCTTATAATTTAGCATCTTTGCGCATTGTCTATGTTAAGGCCATGAAGATATTAAGTTTTTTTCTAGTAGTTTTGTTTTGGCTTTCTAGTAGTTTTATTGTTTTTCTAGTAGTTTTGTTGTTTTGCCTTGGGTCTACATAATCCGTCTTGAATTAATTTGGCATACAGTATGAGGTAGGGAGTCAATTTTCCCCTGCCTCTCATACAAATATGCAGTTGCTCCAGTATCATTTACTGAAAGGACTTTTTTTCCCATTGAATTTCATTGGCACCATTGTTGAAAATCAAGTGACTGTACATGTGTTGGTTTATGTCTGAACTCATTATTATATTTCATTGATCTATTTGTCTGTCCATATACCAGTCCCATATGGTCTAAATTACTGTAGCTTTATAGATAGTTTTGAGATTACTACAGCTAGTTTAGGTCCTTTGCACTTCCATATAACTTTAAAATCACTTAATTTCTGTCAGCCCACTGGAATTTTGATTAGGCTTGGTTTGAATCTATATACCAATTTGGAGATATTTAATGTCTTAAAAATATTGAGACAGTTTGACTTCTTCCTTTTCAATTTTTATGTCCATTTTATAAAAACAAAATTAAATCTTTGATTTAGTTCAGGATTCACCTTAATGAGGAATAAGGGCTGAAGATGGTCTTATATAAAAATATTCACAGAATTTTTTTGGCACATTTTAATGGCCTTTCATGAAGGAAGTTTTCAGTTACATACATTATACTTTCTAAACAATAAGTCATTAAACTGTGACTGCTCAAGCTGGCACTTTCTGTGAGAAGATGGATATATTTAAGTGTGAATGGTATGTATGTTTTAGACAGATTAATGACTGTTAGTCTTTGACATGTACAATCTCTGGAAATGAGTACAATTTTCCATGTCTCAACAAAAACGTCACTAACTATGAAGGTCAGGGAAACAAAGAATCTCAAAAGTATGCTTGTCTTTTTGTTCCTTGATATAGAATCTATTCCAGTTTGTTTTCGTGAATTGAGTATGTTTCAGTGATATCTTTTAATTGCTCAGAAAGCTTAATTATCAAATTATTGAAAACGTAAGTAGCATACAAATAAATGTGAACACATGCCAAATTTTATGTATCCTATTAATGAAGGAGCAAACATAATGGCAAATCTGAGTCAATAAGGATATATGGAAGTGGGATTTATATAGTCAGTGAAGAAATAAAATTGCTAAAGTAGATTTGCAAAATTAGATATTAAGATGGTTAAAATCCTAAAACTGTAATCTTTGGGATTATCTTCACCACTTCTTATCTGTTTTACTAAATTCACCAGTTGTAAAATATCTGGTCCCTAATCAGTTCTTAGGTAGACAAAATTACAAATTCTGATACAGTCAGATGAAACTATTTAAAATCTCTAGCATGACATTTTAGGGTCATACAATTATTTTTTGTTTTCTTCTTTCTTTTCCTTTTTTCTTTCCTTCCTTTCTCTTTTCTTCTTCCTTCTTTCCTTTCTTTTTCTCTTTTCTGTTTCCTTCTTTCTTCTTTTCTCCTTTTTTCCTTCCTTTCTTTTCCTCCTTTTTTCCTTCCTTTCCTGTGTTCTTTTCCTCCTTTTTCCTTCCTTTCCTTTCCCTCCCTTCCTCCCTTCTTTCCTCCCTTTCTCCCCATGTCCTTTCTCTAGTCCCCTGAAGGAAAGTCCTTGTCCAAGGAGTGAAGAGGGTGAACAGAGGAATCCGGGACATGGTAGGGAAGCCCTGAAGCTCTGCTTGCTGAGGACTAATTGTGGCAATTCAGAACCCCTCCTCTCTACGTGTCTGTTATCCTCTGGCCAGGTAGCTTTGTAGGATATGTTCATGAAAATTTGTCTCTGCTGTTGTGGCCCAATTACAGGACAAGGGATGACACACAGAACATATACATAAGATGCAGACAGACAGAATTGGCTGCAGTCCCAGAAGAAAAAAGGGCACAGAGACAAGAGACGGTTTCAGACTGCAGCACCGAAAATGTACTCATCATTTATTTATATACAGTTTAATTGGGCAAGCGTCCTGCAGCTATTTTTGGTACGTGACTTCCCACGGCCAACAACACCTGCTTTTCCAGTCAAAGCAAAAAGCATGGCCTTCTACAAGAGATCTCTTTGATGTGTGACGCACTGTTTTCAGATGACAAACAATCTCGGCTCGAGTGCGAGACCATGAGTCCTTGACTGTCTTGCAGTGCCTATCACCGCGTGCTGGTTACCAGGCAACTTTGGCTCGCATGCGAGGCCACAGGTCCTTGGCCATTTCTGGCCGTTTGCCTGGAGAAACAGTTCCTTCAGCCAGTCAATAAGCCACATCCTGCTAATTGTGGGAACAAGCAATGGGCTCCCGCTATGCTGACTTGGGGTCTCAGCCAATCTGACCCTGGGACGGCTCACTCGCTTAAGCTCACTTCACCTGCTGTATGACCATCCATCTCTCCCTGCCTGGACGTGAGGCTGGTGAAGGACTCCCTGAGAGTGGGGGATGACACAGGAAGCAAGGGTGTGAGTCAGAGCCTAGTGCTCGTGTGGGTCCTGGGGGCCAGGTGCAGGACAGTCGCACTTCAGTGAGGACGCTGCTGGCCCGAGTATGGGAGAGCTGGCGGAGTGTGTTTTCCTGTGTGGCCTGGCCCAGAGCCCTGTCCTCTAAGGACCAGTCCTACAGGATCCCCTGCTGGGTTCCCAGTCCCCCTGCTCTAGCCCCTCCAGCACTGCCCGGCATTCCTGGAACAGTGTCCTCACTATTGCATGGGTCCTGATGCCGCTAGCCAGGGCAGTTGAATGTGTGTGTTTGGGACTGGGACATTAATTTTTGGAAGTCACCAAGGATGTCCAGACAGCTAAATTCAGGGTGTATTTCACAGAGATGATGTTAGCAGATATTTCAGGACTACATGAAATTTGAGTTTGCTTTTGCCAGGTGCCTGGGGTCAGTGTATGACCATCTTGAATCAAGTTCAGGGGTTCAAGTCCCAGATGTTTTTCACCTGGTAATAATTACACAGGGGAGACTTTTACAGGTTGATTATTGTGTTGTTGTTGTTGCGAGTGTCTCCTGTTAGGTTTTTCCCGCCCCCATTGCATAGGCATCGCCTTTGGTGTCTGCCTTTGCCAAAATCATATAATACCGTCAGGGAAAATCGTCCTCTGCTCTTTTTTCTCTGTGTTCTCATTTGCCCTGGAATGCTAGTCTCGAAGTTCCTCATTATTCATTTGACTGTGATATTTTAAAAATATTTTCTGTTTAGTTTGAGTTTGCATGCAATTGTTTAAGTGTGAGGATTTATATAAAAAGAACATGACTATAAACTGAACTCCCTTTTCTTACAGGAGCGCCTCTGCTGCCACAGGAAAAAAACCCTCAAGGCCTCGTCCTTTACCTGCATTGGGTCCTGAACAAGTTTATTTGTTAGAGCTTCATAGGGAAAGGGTTTATAATGTTCACATCTATGGAAAACATATTTATCTAACATCACATCAGCCAAATAGAGTGAAAAACAGTAGAACTCAGCCTACACTGGAGGAAGAGAGCAACGTCCTTAACATGCAGCGGTCACCAAGCTTTGCCCTCTCATTGGTGTCCTCCTTCACATATCAGTGGAATAAAATATTTGACATATGTTCTTTCTATATTTTAATGAGGATCAGGTGTTTCTCTTTCAAAAATAATATTCTGTCCTCTTGTAGGTTATCCACTGAGGTGCCCTGTGCACCTGCCGTATCTGAACTTGTGTCTGCAGAGGAAGCTGTGTTTAAACTCAGGGAATACTTTTCTTGCATCCTGTAGTGATTCCTAAGATGTGGTACATATTTACCTTTGTTGACCTGGTTTGCTTTTTTTTTTTCATAGATATCCATGTTCTTTATATGAGAATGGGCTGTAGATGAATATTTGGGGTCATCAGCCTATAGGTAACCACTGGGCTGGCAAAGGGGCTAGGGAACAATCCAGAGTGTATTCTGTGACCAATGGAGTGGCCCTAGCACTGAGGACACAGCACAGAACTGAGAACAGGCAGAGCACCCCTGCGGAGTCTCTGTGGGGACAAGCACTGAGGGCAAAGGGGCCAGTGCTTTTGTGCTTCCCTGACTCCCAGCTTTTCCTGCAGCCCACTGCAGGACCACGTTAGGTACATTGGATTAAGGTGTGTGTGTGGGGGGGGGGAAGAAGCTGCATTTTGGGAGTGTGGTGTCAAAGTTATAAAATTTAGATTTTGTTTTATATTGTTAAAAATTAGTGCAGTGTTCGGGATTTTTAGTTTCATTTCATTTTGCTTTGGAATTTTCTAACATTTTGTGAGTGGAATGTAACATTTTTGTATGTTTCCATTATGTTTTTGCTAAGCTTTATGTAGTCTGAGGGTACATTTATTCATAGATATAGAATCATTGTGTTGTGTGAGTATAATATCAAAATTTTCTCTTAATGATTAAATACTGGCTTGCCTGAATTTCAATTTGTGTGTGTGTGTGCAACTTTATTTTGCCACTCTTGCTCGTGTCTGTGCAATTGAGAGATCTTTGTGTTGGCTTTTACAAACACGTTGTTATCATAAAATTGGTGTTAAAAATAAAACATTTTGGAGCTTAGAACAATATATTTGATCATCTTCTCTGGGTCCCTGGAGAACAAGCTTCCTGAACTCACACTGGCCACTTGCACCTCTGTGTGAAGAAGACGCAGATATTAGGAGCACAGGGGGAGACTGAGCCAGGCTGTTTTTGTCTCACTTCCCCATGTGCATCTGTCACTGTGGAAATGGTTGCTGAACCACAGAGCGCAGTAATACTCGGCCTCGTCCTCAGCCTGGGCCCCTGTGATGGTGAGGGCAGCCTTGTCTCCAAGCAGGGAGCCTGAGAATCGGGCAGGGACCCCTGGGTATCGGTTGCTGGTACCATATATTAGACCACGGGGTACCTCGTTGGACCCCTGTTGGACCCAGTTGGCATAGTTGCTGGTGGTGACAGCCCCAGTGCTGGAGCCACAGGTGAGTGTGACTGTCCCTCCAGGAGTTGTTAACAGGGAAGTTTCCTGAGTCACCACCTCCTGGGACGTGGCTCCTGAAAACAGGTGAGAGATCAGATGTTCAGGAGAAAAGGCAGGAGCATGAAGGTTCAGTGTTGCCTTCCCCTCCCCAGCCCAGAATGTCCCCCTGACCTGCGAATTGAGCCAGCAGTGTGAGCAGGAGAGGAGCCCAGGCCATGGTGTAGACAGCTCAGTGCTGTGCTGTTCTAGACTGTTCCCCTCAGGGTCAGCCCCCAAGGCTCTCACTATAACTCCTGACACCCTGGGGGCTGGGCAAGGCTTTCATGCAAATGATCCCCCCTCCCAGGGGGACTCAGCAACTCGCCCAGGTCACGGTTGTTGGGTTTTACACACCAGTCACCACATGTATATGGGACCCAGGCTTGGAGGACCATTTCCCAGCTATCTCCTGTTCTCCCAGGGCCTGATCCACATCGCCCTCTAGTGTCCACAGGGGGACATCACTGATGGACGGATGCCTTCCTATGGCCCCTGCATTGTCTCAGTGTTTAGTTTTCTTTTTGGACCTCCTTGGTGGGAATAGGACTCACAATTCACCCCACTGTGTAAGGAGTCCTCAGGGCAAGGGGCATCTCACGTGCAAACTGTACATGAAGTAAACGTACCTTTGCTGAGAACAGCGACAGGTCAGCCATGGCCCTACTTCCTCCTCAGCTCATGAAGCAGGTGTCTCTCTGCTTCCTGGATTCCTTAGAAGATCAGCACCTAGGGAGCAGAGTGGTGCATGTTGAGGAGGATAAATTGATGTGCTTGGGTGGTTCACTGGATTCTCTGGTAAGTGAGGAGAAACCCAGGGAGGAGGAGAAGGTACCAGTAAGGTTGAAAAAGAGAGGTTGGGGACTCAGGGCCTCTTCTGAAGTGAGGGACTAGAGAGGGTGAGGAAAGAAGGAGGATATGAGTGACAACTTCCAGGAAAGATCTAAAAATATGTCCAAGACTTTTCTGAGATAAAGACCTTGATCATTTAGGGAGGAGCTCCAGGAGAGAGAGAATTCTCTGTTTCTCGTGAATCAGAGAAACAGGAAGTGGAGGTTGAGGCCGGTCCACACTGTGGAGGGAAATTGAGGAGAAGCCAGTGGGGATGTTGGCAGGAGCCAGAGTAGGTCAGGTCAAGGGAGGTTGGGGTGTGTTTTCTTTCATTCCTGTTTTATTTCTTAAAGTTAGTGGAGTCTCTCCAGGCTCCTCAGCTGTCCTCTCTGGTCCTCTCCTTGCCTGGACGAGGGGGAGGGGGGAGATTATTCTTCATTCAAAAGTCTTCAGTATTCTCTGTGAAAGATATATGTTTGACTTCTGGCTGCAAATGGCTTCCCTTCCTATTTTACACGATTCTTATAAATGTGGTGATAATAGAGTAATTATGTTGATTTTGGGGCTAAGGGACCTTTAAGAAATGCCTAGTCTTAGGCCTCACTCCAGACCCATTGATTCTGAATCCACATTTTAGAGGATCCCCAAGTGATTTGTGTGTACATTAAAGTGTGAGGGGCACTGTTCTAACATGGCCATCCAGGCACTTGTAGGGTTTTTGTTGTGAGGACTGTGAAACAGTCCTCAGTCTATTCTGTTTCCCACCAATAAACTAGCATCCTCCTTCCCCATGTTGTGCATTTGTGCATCGGGTGCCAGGAATATTGTCCTGAAGGGTCCCCATTGAACATGGCAGGCATCTCCCATGGAGCTCACAAAGTGGACAGAAATGACCAGAAGTCTTTTACTCATAACAAGGGGATCTTCACATGTTCACATCTTTATATGTTGATACCAGTGAACAACTAGCATTAGCTAAAACTGTAAGTTTGTATTAGTACTTTTAATGTTAAGCAGTCATTGCATATTTATATAGGTTATAAGAGTGGTAATTCTTTTATTAACTGTAAATGGAACTATAATAGCAGTGTATAGAAGGTAGAAATATGAACAGAAATTGATAATAATTATGGAAAACTGAGGCCCAAGGTGGAAGACATACATCCAAATTCAGAAATGTAGTTATTTTGATTATTTGGTGCAATAATTGCCTAGGGCTGCCATAACTATGTATCACCAACTGGGTAGCTTAAAACAACAGAAATTTACTATTTTATAGTTCTGGAGGCTAGTAGTCCAAAATGCACAGGGCAGGGCCATGTTCCCTCTGAAACCTCTAGGAGGATCCTTTCTTGCCTTTTCCTGGCGAGGGTGGTTTGCCAGCAGTGTTTGGTGTCCCTTGGCTCGTCTCCGCATAAGCTCAGTCTCTGCCCACATCCGCACAGGGCATTCTCCCTGTGTCTCCTCGTCTCATAAAGACGTGAGACATACTGGTCCACCGTCCTAGTCCGATGGGGCCCACCTAAGCTAATTACATCTGCAATGACTCTCTTTTCAAAAAAAAGTCACATTCTGAGATAATGGGAGTTAGGACTTCAATGTATCTTCTTTGAGGACCACATTTTATATATGACATTAGAGAAGAAGATTCCTTTCCAAAACTTTTTATAATTTTTGATTTTAAAATACCTGTTTGTACTTGCATTGCATTAAAATAAAATTTCATTAAATAAATGTTAGTAATATTAGTAATGAGGATTTCTTCCCATTGCTTTTAGACGACAAAGAATATCATTGGAAATGCTTTTTCTCTGTATTAAATATGTTTGGTCTCAGTCCTTAAATTAGATCCAACTGTCACTGTTTTTTTGGAACATAAAATCATTGAATTCTATGTTTTCATGGACTACTTCTTCTCCAGTAATTTACAAATCTCCTTTGTTTTAGTCCTCAGAGAAGACCAGGAGTCAATTCAGACCTTTCTTAACCTTTCTTTTTATGGGTCGGCTTGCCATGGATTAGGCTGCCCTGAGAACTCAGGTGTGTGGTCATGTGATCCCCATATCACATGATCATATTTGTTCCCAGGCTTGGTGAAGAACAGGTGTATATCTTTGTTTCTGACCTGGTTTTCTCACTGTGTTAATAAGCAGCACCATACAGCAGCCAGCAGTCCTCAGGCGACTCCGCCTCGTCCTCAGGCTGGTACCCCAAGAGGGTCAGGGCACCCTTATCCCCAAAGAGGGAGTCTGAGAAGTGAGCAGGAGCCCATCAGTATTTTTGCTTGCATCGTAAATCGATGTCTTGGGGTGTTGGCCAAACTGATGCTGAATCCCATATGGATAGTGCCCTGGTGCTGGAGCCACAGGTTAGAGTGACTGTCCCTGCTGGAGACTCTACACACTGAGAAATGGGCTCTGAGACCAAAACCAGACATTTGTTAGGATGAAGAATAAAGGCAGAGGGACCCCTCCAAAGGCTGGTCTGTGGAATCTTCATGACCCTGAGAAAGAATGAGGAGGAAGAGGAGGAGAATAGTCCAGGCCATAGGTGGATTTCTGAAGATCCCCAGGGCCCACGGCTGCTGCTGTGCTCTGGGATGTTTTTCTTTCTTTCTTTTTTTATCTCCTCTGTGGCACTCTGATCAAATGGTGTATGATTATTTGGTGTATTATACAAACATGCGTGCTTCGTCAGCGCCGTAATTCAATTCTGGGTCCTCAGTGCGGGGAGGTTGGGCTTGTGCTAGGTCTGAGTTTGTCCCTTGGGAGGAAGCAGCTGCTGTCACCTCTAACTGAGGCCAGTGAGCAGGGGTCCAGGGACCATTAAATTTCAACCATTTAAGTTTGTTTCAGGCCTGGCTCAGGTCTGAGAATATCCACAGCGCCCCCTGCTGGCTCCTGAAGCTATTGTTTGTGCTATGTCTAGTTGTGTTAAATATCTTCCCTGATGCCTGACTTTCAATTTCAGTGTTACCTGTTTTTGAATGCCTCCAGAGAGAGTTTTTTCTTTCTTTTATTATATTTTCAGTTTTGTAAATTCCATGTGGTTTGCTTTTATGATGTTTATTTTTTGATCTGATTTGCTGCTTTTCCATTTGTTTCAAGAATGCCAGTAATTGCTGATCAAAGGGATTTAAGAGGCTGTTTAAAAAGGTCTGTTGTAATTTCAGCACCTATGTTACCTCAGGATTTGTGTCTGTGAATTGTCTTTGCTCATTAAAGTTGTGATTTCCTGGTGATTTTTTTTTTATTTTTTATTTGAGAGCGAGAGTCTTGCTCTGGTAGAGTGCAGTGGTGTCATCATAGCTCGCAGCATCCTTGAATTCCTGGGCTCATGTGAGCCTTCTGCTTCAGCCTCCTGAGTAGGTGAGGATACAGGTGACAACTACCACACCGAGCTATTTTTCTATTTTTGCTAGAGATGGGGTCTCACTGTTGCTGAGGGTGGTCTCGAACTGCTGACCATAAGCAATACTCCCATCTTGGCCTCTCAGAGTGCTAGGATTACAGGTGTGAGCCACTGTGTCTGGTCCATTAACTGCATATTACCAAAAAAACAAAAGGGAAAAAAAGAAAAAGAAAAATCCAGACAAAAATTATCTTCCAAATGTGGAAGAAACAGTGGCACATGTTGTAGTGTCCTGGAAATGTCACATTGATGCTTACAACAAATCCACCTGTGATGAAGCATTCCACCCTCATACCACTGATCACACAGTAAATCCACAAAGAGAAATAAGAAACTGAAATACTCTGCAGTAAGAAAAGTTTTGGAGTGAACATAATCTCATCAGAAAAGGCATCATTCTTAATATTCATTATTAGAACCCAGACAGAGCTGTAGAAGGTTCCTTCTTAGATCAGCATCCTCCTTCTAACCACACTTCTGCGTCTGTTTAAGGGAGTGCTCGAGTACTCATTTCAGACACAGCACCACATTGGAAGGAAAAATGAAAATGAAAACGTCAGGGGCTCACTGCAAGGAGGGCATGCTCTTTGAAGAGCTTCCAGTAAACAGTGGGCATGAGACTGCTCAGTTTCCAGAGATGCGAAAATTCTCTTTTAAGGTGTCCTGTCAGCTGGCAGCTCCACCAAAAGTCTGACTAAACATTTAAAAACACATGTAATATATTTCAAAACCAACCCTAAGTAAGAGCGTTCAGAAGAAAGATTCCAGGAGCGGAGCATGTGGAAGGCCTGGGAAAGCCTCGGCCGCTCCCCCGACACCAGCGGTGGTGAAGACGCTATCAGGAGACCTGCCAGTGGGGTTGGGGACAGGTTCTTCGGGGAAGTCAGGATCAAAATGCTGCAGGTCACTGAGTCCACTCGCATTTGATTTAAAAGGGGGCGTGACCTTCCTATTAATAAGATCATCTCAGTGAGAGGGAGGCTCACTTCTTAGTCTTCATAAAGTCATCCTTGGCACCAAAGAGGCAAAACCCCTTTGTCCTGTGCAGGAGGCTCTCCAGGAGGTGTCCTTTGGAGTTTGTCACACTTGGCTTCAGCTAGAGGTGCTTATTCAGGACGTTGGCGTGCATGTCCGCTGTGTTGTAGCTATGAAAGGGAGGCAGGCCGTGAGCACCTCTCACCAGAGGCCCCAGACACCACCAGTCCACGCTCCTGTCACAAGACTGCCCATGAGGCACTGCAGTGCCAGACACTCAGGTGTGCCGCGGGGGGAGATGTCGTGCCATTGTGTCCAGTGTTCTCCTTGTTGCAGACGCCAAAGTCTGTAAGGACAATGTGTCCCTGTGACTGTAGGAAAACATTGTCTGGTTTTAAGCTTCTATAAATGATGTTTAGAGAGTTCATGTATCTCAAGGCCGTGGCTGTTTCAGCACCATAGAAGTCAGCCCATGGTTCCATGAAGCAGTGACTCCTCTGGAGATGGCAGAGTTACTGGCCACCATTAACACAGTGTGCGACAAGGTACAATTTATCAGCAATCTGGAAAGAGAAGTGAAGGTCCACCAGGAAAGGACTTTTTATCATTCTTCTTCTTCTTCTTCTTTTTACAAGCTTACTTTCCTCAAAGCTCACTCTTCAAGAGAACATTCTGCTCCAACATAATAAGCTTCCCTTTCTTCTTTTTAGGGATTATTTTCTTTGATAAACCTTTGCACAAAATGCTTCTTCTGCCTTGTGTATTGCTAAATGATCCTTTCTAAAACTCCCTTCCCAATCACTTTCAAGATATGAATGTCTTGGTTTATCATGAGGATTGGATGATGGGCCCAGCTTTATTTGCTAAGAAGGGCTTGGTGGAGGACCTGAGCTTGGGTCCTTGAGATTGGGAGGTTTTCAAAATGGACCGAACTTTAGAGTGTTTACATATGTAGGAATTAATAGCAATTTTGTGAATTAAGTGGTTCAGGCCCATCCTGTTGTGTTTCAAGGAAGTGTCAGCAAGCAGCTCAGCTGGTCATAGTTCTTTACCTGGCAGGATGACCTAAACCTCATGTATGCTGTCTTTTACCAAATGTTGCATTGCCTCAGAATAATGCTTTTCTAATATAATTTTAGATAGAGACAGCAGGAGAGTAAATTATATTGTGACTTCACACTGTCTCTGCAATTCACAGCATGTTTTAGGAAAGTTCACTTAGTGATGTAACTTCACTGTGTCTCTTCATGTCCTAGCAGCAGGGGAGTCATCTCACTGGGTGGTAGGACTGTCTCTGGAAGCCAATCCTGCATGGAAGGTTTCTAATAACATAAATATTGATATGATCCATTAACTATTACTTAGAAGAACTTACATTTGTGGAAATTTCCACTATCTTCAGGCTGTAGTTTTAAGTCAAGTCATAGTTTTAGCACGGGGCTTGGATTTTCAATTTGTTTCTGTGTGTGCTTGGATTTTCGAATGGGAAATTGGGAGTGACTGAGTCATGGAATATTTACCCTGACTGCATTTTAGGCAGAAATGTGCAAAAATGCTTTAATAATAATAAGAGTAGAGTTGCTTCTGAAACGTTAATATTCATACAAATCTCCTAGAAAGCTTGTTAAAACAGATTTTTAGACACTAAAACAATTTCTGTTTTAGTAGGTCTAGATTGAGTTATTTCATTTGTAACAAACTCCCAGGCAATGGCATCATTTCAGTACAAAATAAAATAGTATTTGGTGTCTATGATGAAATTAAGGAGGACATGTCTGTTAATGCTCCTTGAATCAGAAGAGTCTTACTGGTAGTGGTGGGTCTCTGAGTCTCGCTGTTGGTTTGTACATTTTGGAGCAGAGCCCTGCGCTCATTACTCCAGGCAGAGAGGGAAAGAGGAAGCATCGTCTTGGAGGAGTCCCACTAGAGAGATGGACACAGCCTGGTAGAGACTGGATGAGGCTCATGACAGTGAACCCCTGGATAGGAAAATGGGGCGAGGATACTCTGACACTGTGGTGTTGACCTTTTCCAGCACCTCACTTTTCTTTAGCTGTTGAGGCCTAAGGAATTCTAGCAGCAGATGTCTTTGCTGCACTTCCCCATGGGTTTAAATCACTGTGGAAATGCCAGTACCCATGTACAGTGCAGTCATACTCACTGTCGTCCTGAGTCTGGGCCCCTCGATGGTGAGGGCGGCTGGGTTCCCAGCAATGGAGCCTGAGAAGCACCAGGCACCCCAGAGGGGCGGACGTTGATGCTGTGGATAAGCGTATGTGGAGGCCGGCCCGGTGCCTGCTGGTACCAGCTGGGGTAGTGTCCCGTAGAGACTGACCCAGAGCTTAGGCCACAGGTGAGTGTGGTCGTCCCTCCTGGAGACACTGACAGTGATGGCTCCTGGGTCACCACAGTCTGAGAATCAGCCCCTAAAACCCACAGTAGAGACAGAGATATTATCGAAATGAGGGTCTTTCTGAGACCCAGCTGTATGTGCCCTTCCCAGGGATGCAGAGTCCCTTCCCCTGACTTGAGCCGTGAGGAGCCCGAGAAGAAGGGTTGTGCAAGCCATGGTGAGGGCACTGGCAAGGGCTCGGTGTCCTCACACTCCTCAGCTGGGGATGTCTGTCCTCAGGGCCTTTCATGTCTCCCAGACCCCTTAGCAGGAGCAGATGCTTCATGCAAATCAGTTTCCCTCTCTTCCTGCCCCAGTGTTCACCCTGATGTCCCCTGGGAGAGACCTGGAAAGAGGCAGATGCTGGAACCTCACAGAAACCAATAAGAGCAAGGGACTGCGCCATTGCGGGATGGGGGTCGATGCCTCACCAAACGGAGCACCCTACGATCCACTGGTGACCCCTATGATCCACTGGTGACCCCAGTCCCTGTATCTCTCTATGGCTCAGTATCTGCTCCTCCAAGTTCCATGTTCATCAGCACACGGAGATTGCAGAAATAGTCCTACCTTCTGCTCCCTCATGTTCAAAGTGAATCTTTGTTGATAGAACTTAGATTCTGCTTGCTAATGTGTCTTATCCTTTTTTTTTTTTTTGCAACTATCAGCTACATTCATAAATAAGGTTGGTAATTTTCAATTAAATATGATCCTGTTGTTGTGGAGTTTGGCTTCATTGATTTGCAAGAATGAGAAAATGAGTTTGAGCTATACTTTGTTTTTTTTTCTCTCTCTCTGTCTCTCAACTGTCTCCAGGAGGACAGTAGCAGCAGGAGGCGCAGGGTACAGGTTCTAGGAAGCCACCGGTTACATGGAGTAGCTAGCAGAATTGTGATTATGAAGAGCAATGTAGCAGGGTGACCATTAAGCTATGAAATTCCTCCCCACATGGGATATAAAATAGGAAAACATGCTCCTCATGATCAGAAATAAAAACAACGCTGTGTGTGCTTTAGTTGTTGTGAAACTTATGGATCACAGTAAAACACCCTTGGTTTCTATGGAGCAGAAGGAAGGGGAAGGTGGAAAGGGGGATTTGGGAGATAAAGATGAACATAATTTTTAAAAAACTACCACCCAATGTGGATGGATGTCAGAGTCATCACAATATGGCCCAGGACCAGGACCCTGGAGGGAGGGTCAGGAGGTGGTAGAAAGAATGGCTGACTGATCACTGACACCTAGATGACAGGAGCAAAGGGCGGTGCAAATGTGTCTTTCTCCCTTTGTCCTTTCTCTAGTCCCCTGAAGGAAAGTCCTTGTCCAAGGAGTGAGAAGGGTGAACAGAGGAATCCAGGGCATGGTAGGGACGCCCCGAAGCTCTGCTTGCTGGGGACTAATTGTGGCAATTCAGAACCCCTCCTCCCTAGGTGTCTCTTCTCCTCTAGCCAGGTGACTTTGTAGGTCATGTTTCTTCATGAAAATTTGTCCCTGCTGTGTGACCATCCATCTCTCCCTGCCTGGACATGAGGCTGATCAAGGACTCTCTGAGAGTGGGGGAAGCAAGGGTGTGAGTCAGAGCCTAGTGCTCGTGTGGGTCCTGGGGGCCAGGTGCAGGACAGTCGCACTTCAGTGAGGACGCTGCTGGCCCGAGTATGGGAGAGCTGGCGGAGTGTGTTTTCCTGTGTGGCCTGGCCCAGAGCCCTGTCCTCTAAGGACCAGTCCTACAGGATCCCCTGCTGGGTTCCCAGTCCCCCTGCTCTAGCCCCTCCAGCACTGCCCAGCATTCCTGGAACAGTGTCCTCACTATTGCATGGGTCCTGATGCCGCTAGCCAGGGCAGTTGAATGTGTGTGTTTGGGACTGGGACATTAATTTTTGGAAGTCACCAAGGATGTCCAGACAGCTAAATTCAGGGTGTATTTCACAGAGATTATGTTAGCAGATATTTCAGGACTACATGAAATTTGAGTTTGCTTTTGCCAGGTGCCTGGGGTCAGTGTATGACCATCTTGAATCAAGTTCAAGGCTTCAAGTTCACAGGTGTTTTTCACCTGGTAATAGTTCTACAGGAGTGACTTTTACAGGTTGAATTATTTTGTTGTTATTGTTGCAAATGTCTCCTGTTAAGGTTTTCCCCAACCCCTTGTACAGGCGTAGCATTTAATGTCTGCCTTTACCATAATACTCTAACACTGTCGGGGCAAACTGTCTTCTGCTCTTTTTTCTCTGAGTTCTCATTTGCCCTTGAATGCTAGTCCAGAAGTTCCTCATTATTTTCTTGACTGTGATACATTTAAAATATTTTCTGTTTAGTTTTAGTTTGCATGTAATTTTTAAAGCCTGAGGATTTATATAAAAAGAACATGACTATAAACTGAACTCCCTTCCTTACAGGAGCGCCTCTGCTGCCACAGGAAAAAACCCTCAAGGCCTCGTCCTTTACCTGCATTGGGTCCTGAACAAGTGTATTTGTTAGAGCTTCATAGGGAAAGGGTTTATAATACTCACATCTGTGAAAAATATATTTATCCAACATCACATCAACCAGAGAAACAGAGGGAAAATAGTAGAACTCATCAGCCTAAATTGGAGGAAGAGAACCCAGGGTGGGTGTAAGAGCCGCATCCTAAACACGGGGCAGCCACCCACCTTTGCCATCTTATTGGTGTCCTCCTTAACATATCAGCTGAATAAAAGGTTTGATATATGTTCTTTCTATATTTTAATGAGAGTCAGGTGTTTCTTTTTCCAAAATAATATTCTGACCCTCTTGTAGGTTATCCACTGAGGAGCCCTGGTGCACCTGCTGTATCTGAACTTGTGTCTGCAGAGTAAGCTCTGTTTAAACTCAGGGAATACCTTTCTTGCATCCTGTAGTGATTCTTAAATGTGGTTCATATTTTCTCTTGCTGACCCTGGTTTTTTTCATAGATATCCCTACCATTTATATGAGAATGAGCTATAGATGAATATTTGGGGTCATCAGCCTGTAGGTGAACATGGGCTGGCAAAAGGGCCAGGGAAATAACCAGAGTGTATTCTGTGATCAGTGAAGTGGCCCTAGCACTGAGGACATTGCACAATATTGAGAAAAGACAGAGCAGCTCTGGAATGACACTGAGAAGGAGCATTCATGGTGGGGGGGAAGTAGGAGAGTTTAATCAGGTCTCATAACAGTTGGCTTTGTGTCCTGAAGGGGCAGAGTCACAGCTGACTCAGAAAGAATCAGGCTAACTAATCACAAGCGGAGGGACACTGAGATAGCACCCTGTAATGAGGGTCTCTTGGGTTGCAGAATCTTTCTTTGCCTCTTTGTAGATCCTTGTGCCTCCCAGCAATCCTTGACATCCCTTGGCTTGTACTCTAATGTCTTAAAAGCATCACCACATGCTTTCTTCTTCCAGTATGCTTTTATTATTAATATAAGGACACCAGTCATTCCATTTAGGGAACATTCTTATCCAATATGACCGAATCTTAACTCATTACATCTTAAGATGCTATATTTTCAAACATGGTCACATCTTGAGCTGATGAATAGACATAAGGTTTTGAGGTATACAGTCCAAGTCCCTACAGTCTACCCACTGGCTGACAACATTTATATCCATCTCATATGCAAAGTACATTCACTGCATCCCAACAGTCCTAAAAGTCTTAACCCCTCCAGCATTAACTCTGAATCCAAAAGTCATCTAAATGTCAACTCAAAAGTTCCACCTGTAATAATCTAAATAACCTAAGTTTGAGGCCAGGCTTGGTGGCTCATGTAACCCCAGTCCTTTAGGAAGACATAGTGGGAAGATCTCTTGAGGACAGGAGTGCAAGAGCAGCCAGAGCAACTTAGCAATACCCAGTATCTACAAATAGTAAAAAGGAAAACAAATTAGGCATGGTGGCATGCGCCTATATATAGTCCTATCTACCCAGGAGGCTGAAGCGGGAGGATCGCTTGAGCCCAGGAGTTTGAGGTTGCAGTGAGCTATGATCACAACACTGTACTCTAACCTGGGCAGCAGAGCGGGAGACCCTGTAACAAACAAACAAACAAACAAACAAACAAACAAACAAACAGTCCAAATCTGGGTGTGATCCCTCCTGGGGCAAATTTTCTTTTGATCTGTGAGACTAGAAAACAAACTTAGTTTCTAAAAGGCAGTGATGGTACAGGCATAGGCTAGACATTCTCTTTACATAAGGGAGAAAGGGGAAGGAGTAAGGATGTCTATGTCTCTGACCCAAACCCAGCAGGGAAAATTCTGTTTAGGTTTCAGGGCCTGTTCATAATCCTCTGTGTTTTGAAGTTCCATATTCTGGACCCCTGGTGGCAGGGGCATCACTCTCTGAATCCACATTGGCAGTGGATACCAGGGACTCTCTGTTCTCTTCATCTCCAAAGGGCTCTGCCCTTTGAGTCATTCTTCTTTTACATTGTCCCATCTTTGCCTCTTTTGTTTCAGACTGACGGTGTTTCTGCTAGTATGACAATCTCAAAAACAATGTCAGTCTCTCACGTAATTCAAGGGTGTCTACACCATCAGACAAGAGTCTTCCATAAGCAGATATTTCCTGAATAACCCCATCTCTATTTTGGCTCCTTATAAAATGTTTAATTGGATTTGAGAGTCATACCCAATCTCTTGAACAAAAGATTGTCCAGACATACTCTTGGCATTACCTCTAGACCATTCTAGACCATTCACCAATAGTAGATTTCTTAATTTTAGCAATCTGGGTCAGCCAAATATCTAACAGAAATCAAGTTCTGGTTCCTTTTGGGTTTAACACAATTAATCTTTTTCCTTTGACATTTTGCTAGGAGAAAGAAGGATACACTTTCCAAACTTTGCTTGAAATTCTCAGATAAATACCCTAATTCAAGTTTTTCTTTTTATTGAACAATATACAGTATGATGCAATTCAGCCAAGTCAGGTTTTTTTTTTTTTTTTTGTTATTTTTTTTCCACTTACTAACAAGGATCACCTTCCTCCAGTGTCTAACTTAATGTTAGTCATTGCCTTGTAAGGACTCACTCGAAGCACCCTCATGTTCATATTTTTATGAACTTTCTGTTCATAATTTTATATCAATCCTCCAAGACATTAGAAGTTATCTTTACAGTTCTCATCACTTCTGAGCCCTCCTCAAAACTACTCTTAACTGTATTTCTACAACATTCTCTTCAAGGAAATCTATGCCTTTTTTCATTCATGCATTTCAAGACACTTCTAGTCTCTGCTAATTACACTATCCCAAAAACATTTCCAAAGGCTTTTTTTTTTGCAGCGTTCCCCCCCCCCTTTGTTGTTATATTCTAAAGTTTTAGGTGGATATGAATATTGGAATCACACTGTTCAGCCCATTATACCTGGGAGGGGCCTAGCTTGAGGCCACTCTGTACAGCTCAGGCTAACCCATAAGTAGCTGACAGTTCTAGGCTGTCCACTGAGGACTTCTAACAGCAGACTTAAATGCTCCTTCCTTGACAAGGGACCTTTTTTTTAAAAAAATTTTTTTCTATATATATTAGTTGGCCAATTAATTTCTTTCTATTTATAGTAGAGACAGAGTCTCACTCTTGCTCAGGCTGGTTTTGAACTCCTGAGCTCAAACAATCCACCCGCCTCGGCCTCCCAGAGTGCTAGGATTACAGGCGTGAGCCACTGCTCCCGGCCTGACAAGGGACCTTGGTATCACACCTTGTGTCCACCACATGTGCAGTGTTAGCATGATCAGTGGGAGCATGAACAGGAGCAGAGCTGGCCACCCAGCTGCTCTTAAAGACTCTTATGATCAGGACCCCGTTTTCTTTATGATTTTTGGTCTTTTGCACCTCATACCTGAGCTCTTTGGAGATGGTTTAGGGGAGATCTAGCTCACAACTCAAGGGTGTTCCCCCAACCCCTACCCACCAACAGACACAAAGATTTTAGAATTTTCACCTGGCTAAGTTAATTAGAAATTAGAGTCCTGTTTATCTGCTTCTATTGTTTAAAATGTTTTGATAGAAGATGTAATTCTTTTCCCCTCCAATATTCTTTGTTATCTTGGTCTTCTATGATTTTAAACATTCCTTTGTAGCTACTTAGTGCGTTTTATATAGAGAAAAATAAAGATAAATTACCTGTGAAATAGGCTTGATGTATAGAGGAATAGAACTTGTCTTTCTTATGTTCCTGCCCTACAGCCCTGGGCCATCCATCTCCTCCCTGCCTGGAGCCTCCTCTTCCCACTGCAGAGTCCTGCCGAGTCTCTGTGGGGACAAGCACTGAGGGCAAAGGGGCCAGTGCTGTCCTGCCTCCGTGACTCTCAGCTTTCCCTGCAGCCCACAGGGGGGACCACGTTGGGTTAAGGTGCCAGGAAAGAAGCTCCAATTTATGAATATATTGTCAAACTTACATACAATGTACATGTTGTATTACATTTTTTAAAATTAGCCAAGCATTTAGGATTTTCATTTTCATTTTATTTTGCTTTAGAAGTTTGCTAAAATTTGGCGAGAGGGATATATCAGTTTCCTATGTTTCCATTATGTTTTTTCTAGCTTTATATAGTGTGAGGCTACATTTATTCATAGATATAGAATCACTGTTGTGTTATACGATTATAATAGCAAAATTTTCTCTTGATAATTAAATACTGGCTTGCCTCAATTTGGATTTATGTGTGTGCGCACATGTGTGTGTGCAACTTTATTTTGCCACTCTTGCTCGTGTCTGCGCAATTGAGAGATCTTTGTGTTGGTTTTTACAAACACGTTGTTATCATAAAATTGGTGTTAAAAATAAAACATTTTGGAGCTTAGAACAATATATTTGATCATCTTCTCTGGGTCCCTGGAGAACAAGCTTCCTGAACTCACACTGGCCACTTGCACCTCTGTGTGAAGAAGACGCAGATATTAGGAGCACAGGGGGAGACTGAGCCAGGCTGTTTTTGTCTCACTTCCCCATGTGCATCTGTCACTGTGGAAATGGTTGCTGAACCACAGAGCGCAGTAATACTTGGCCTCGTCCTCAGCCTGGGCCCCTGTGATGGTGAGGGCAGCCTTGTCTCCAAGCAGGGAGCCTGAGAATCGGGCAGGGACCCCTGGGTATCGGTTGCTGGTACCACCTATTAGACCACGAGGTACCTCGTTGGACTTCTGTTGGACCCAGCTGGCATAGTTGCTGGTGGTGACAGCCCCAGTGCTGGAGCCACAGGTGAGTGTGACTGTCCCTCCAGGAGTTGTTAACAAGGAAGTTTCCTGAGTCACCACCTCCTGGGACGTGGCTCCTGAAAACAGGTGAGAGACCAGATGTTCAGGAGAAAAGGCAGGAGCATGAAGGTTCAGTGTTGCCTTCCCCTCCCCAGCCCAGAATGTCCCCCTGACCTGCGAATTGAGCCAGCAGTGTGAGCAGGAGAGGAGCCCAGGCCATGGTGTAGACAGCTCAGTGCTGTGCTGTTCTAGACTGTTCCCCTCAGGGTCAGCCCCCAAGGCTCTCACTATAACTCCTGACACCCTGGGGGCTGGGCAAGGCTTTCATGCAAATGATCCCCCCTCCCAGGGGGACTCAGCAACTCGCCCAGGTCACGGTTGTTGGTTTTACACACCAGTCACCACATGTATATGGGACCCAGGCTTGGAGGACCATTTCCCAGCTATCTCCTGTTCTCCCAGGGCCTGATCCACATCGCCCTCTAGTGTCCACAGGGGGACATCACTGATGGACGGATGTGTATACCTGTGGCTCTTCCCCCTTCTCCCCTCATCAATTAGGGACATCTTAGTTCTGTTACCAGGTCGCATTTGGTGGCTGAGAGCCCTCAGAGAAGAAGTCATCAACGGGGATTTGGGAGAGTGGAGGCTTGGGCGCCTCGCGGCCTCCCTTTCCTCCTTGCTCAGGCGCACACAGCGGCCGTGTCTGCTGAGCAGAGAAGCAGGGTCTTGGGCGGCCCTGGTGTGGCCTTATGCGCCCCAGACGCACAGCTGGGGATGAGCACATCTGGCTGCATGGTCAGCTGACTCTGCCAAATGCAGGTAGCTGGTCTCCACCAGGGCTGCACATCATTCCAGAATGGACTGTTGAATGGTGTGTGGGTCCCTATTTTTCTAGAACTCTAGGGGCTACATTGTGATATTCCTAATATTGCTGGCTAGATATTCCCTATGGTGTGTTTTTGTTTTGTTTCATGTTCTCACAAAAGTCACCTGTACTGGCACAGCATCTGGTGAGTGAGGTGACTCCACTGACAGGAGTGCTGGCGTCACACAGAGCTCGCAGGGTGTGTGCTCTGCAGCCCTGAAGCCTGGTACCTGTCAGAGTGGGTTTCCCAACCAGAGAACACGTGCTTCCAGAACCAAAACAGGCCTCTCAACGTGTTGTGTTTCCTTCTTGGGAATGAAAATGGAGAGATGTAATGATTTGTTTGTGCTTTGGAAGAGATGCCCAGGCAAGCTCTGGACTAGGAAATCCCTCGTGGGCAAATGATCTCTCTGACATAATGGGTCCCTGATACCTCCTTTCGCCTGTGTCCTGTCCTCTGGAGCCCTTATGTCTTACCAGTGACTTCATGTACTTCCCACCTCTTGCTCCTCTTGTTCAGATAACTTGATTTCAGCAGTACAGTGTGCCAAGGTGATGTGCTGTGTTATGTGCTGATGCTCCAGTTCCCTTGGGATATTTTGATACACTGGAAGAATTAACATAGTTTTTGTGCAACAGTATCAAGTATACTGTTATCCATTCCATCTGTGTGCAAATTGATTCCATTAGTACCTACTGCCAATTAATAAGTATAGAGAAACATGTGCTCACCAAATTTAAAGGCTAAATTGCATACCACTGAGGCTGTGTAGGTCTAGGACATCAAGGACAGCAGCTTTGATCTGGGTATAATTAGGTTGTATTTATGAGGTCACATTCATCTGGCAGGATCCATGTGGGTGTTGTTTTAGAGCCAGATTGATGAATTAAATGAAGACATGTTGGGGACTAATCCCACTGCATTATTAAAGGTTAATGTGTTATACACACACACACACACACACACACACACACACACACACACATATATGGAGAGAGAGAGAGCGCAAATAAAGATGGGCTATTCCTATATAACAAACACTTACGTGCATGTGGAAGGGCAAATAGAAGACGCTCCTCTGGCCAGTCTCCTGCCTTGTCTCAGTGTTCAGTTTTCTTTCTGGACCTCCTCAGGGGGAATAGGATATACCATTCTCCCCGCGGTGTAAGGAGTCCCCAGGGCAAGGGGCATCTCACGTGCAAACTGTACATGACATACACGTACCGTTGCTGAGAACAGCGACAGGTCAGCCATGGCCCTACTTCCCCATCAGCTCATGAAGCAGGTGTCTCTGCTTCCTGGATTCCCTAGAAGATCAGCACCTAGGGAGCAGAGTGGTGCATGTCGGGGAGGATAAATTGATGTGCTTGGGTGGCTCACTGGATTCTCTGGTGAGTGAGGAGAAACCCGGGGAGGAGGAGAAGGTACAAGAGCGGTTGAAAAAGACAAGTTGGGGACTCGGGGCCTCTTCTGAAGTGAGGGACTAGAGAGGGTGAGGAAAGAAGGAGGATATGAGTGACAACTTCCAGGAAAGATCTAAAAGTATGGCCATGTGTTTTCTGTTATAAAGACCTTGGTGAGTTACTGAGGAGCTCACAGGAGAGAAGGAAGGGGAAGGAAGGAGAGAGGCCCGAGGGTTGAGAAGGGAGGTCGTGACTCAGAGACGGGAAGGGGAGGGTGAGGACGGTCCACACTGTGGAAGGGCCTGCAGGAGAAGCCAGTGGGGACACTGGGCAGGTGGGCTCAGGTCAAGGGAGGTTGGGGTGTGTTTCCTTCCATTCCTGTTTTATTTTCTGAAGGAAGGGGAGCCTCTCCAGGCTCCTCAGCTGTCCTCTCTGGTCCTCTGCCCCCAGGGCTGGGGGGATTCTTCTTCATTCAGAGGTCTTCACTTTTCTCTGAGAAAGATTTTTGGCTTCTGGCTGCAAATGGCTTCCCTTCATATTTTACAGGATTCTTATAAAGGAGGTGATAATAGAGCAATTATGTTGATTTTTGGGGGAAGGGACCTTTTCCAAATGCGTTGGCTTAGGCCTCACTCCAGCCCTATTGATTCTGAATCCACATTTTAGAGGATCCCCAAGTGATTTGCGTGTACATTAAAGTGTGAGGGGCACTGCTGTAGCACGGGCATCAGGCACTGTGGGGTTTGGTTCTGAGCTGTTTCACAGGCCTCACTCTGTTCTGCTTCCTGCCAGCAAACTAGCACCCTCTTTCCCCTGTTGTGCACTCGAGCATGGGGTGCCAGGCGTCTTGTCCGCAAGGCTCCCCGGTGAACATGGCAGCCATCTCCCCTGGGCTCACAAAGTGCACAGAAATGACTGGAAGTGTTTTACTCATAACGAGGTGATCTTCATATGTTTCCATGTTTATATTTTGATACCAGCGAACAATTAGAATTAGCTAAAAGCTGTAATTTTGTATTAGTAGTTTTAATAGTAAGCACTCATTGTATCTTTAAACAGGTTTTAAGACAGGATAATTTCTTTTCTTTTATTCTTTTTTTTTTTTTTTTTTGAGACAGAGTCTCACTCTTGTTGTCCAGACTAGAGTGCTGTGGCATCAGCCTAGCTCACAGCAAGGATAATTTCTTTATTAACCTTAAATAGCACCAGAATAACAGTGTATAAATGTAGAAATATGAACACAAATCTGATAATAATTATGGAAAGCTGAGGACCAAGGTGAAAGAAATATATCCAATTTCAGAAATGTAGTTATTTTGATTGCTTGGTGCAATAGTTTCCTAGGGCTGCCATAACAATGTATCACCCACTGGGTGGCTTAAGACAACAGAAATTTACTATTTTATAGTTCTGGAGGCTAGTAGTCCAAAATGCACAGGGCAGGGCCATGTTCCCTCTGAAACCTCTAGGGGGATCCTTTCTTGCCTTTTCCTGGCGAGGGTGGTTTGCCAGCAGTGTTTGGTGTCCCTTGGCTCGTCTCCGCATAAGCTCAGTCTCTGCCCACATCCGCACGGGGCATTCTCCCTGTGTCTCCCGTCTCATAAAGACGTGAGACATACTGGTCCACCGTCCTAGCCCAGTGGGGCCTCATCTTGAAGTTCAAGGCTTCAAGTTCCCAGGTGTTTTTCACCTGGTAATAATTACACAGGGGTGACTTGTACAGGTTGAATCATTGTGCTGTTGTTGCAAGTGTCACCTGTTAGGGTTCCCAGCCCCCTTGGCACAGGCCAAGTCTGGTGTCTGCCTTTGCCAAAATCATATAATGCCGTCAGGGAAAATCGTCTTCTGCTGTTTTTTCTCTGTGTCCTCATTTGCCCTTGAATGCTAGTCCAGAAGTTCCTCATTTTTTGACTGTGATATATTTAAAATATTTCCAGTTTAGTTAGTTCGTATGTAATTTTTTAAGTATGAGGATTTATATAAAAAGAACATGTCTATAAGCCGAACTCCCCTTCCTTACAGGAGCGCCTCTTCTGCCACAGGAAAACACCCTCGAGGCCCCGTAGTTTACCTGCTTTGGGTCCCGCACAAGTGTATTTGTTAGAGCTTCATGGGAAAAGGGTTTATAATGTTCACATCTGTGAAAAATGTATTTGTGCAACATCACATCAGCCAATGCAATCGAGGGAAAACATGAGAACTCCTCAGCCTAACTTGGAGGAAGCGGACCCAGGATGGGTCTGAGAGCCACGCCCTTAACACGGAGCGGCCGCCCCGCACCGGAAGTTCGGAGCTCCTCGAGTGTGCAAGATCTAGAGGGAGAGAAGGTCGACCTCCCTCAAGTTTCAGAGTTCAGGGAATGACCAATAAAGGGGCCAGGGGCAGGGGCATGTCGGGGGCAGTAAGTGGGCCACACACATGGGACTTCTGCTGTCTTCCTCATCGCACCCAGCAACCTTGAGGGCTACTTGTGCTTCTGGGGAGGAAGTGATTCTGTTTGCATTGGGGGACTAGTAAGAAAGGGAGATCTGTTCCTTGTCTCCATACAGCTAGAGCAAGACTCGGGTATGAGAGGAGCCCAGGCCATGGTGGGCACCGGCCCTCCTCGAGGCCCCACAGTGAGGCTGGGCTGCCCAGGCTTCTCTTACCCTCCTGGTGCCCCCAGGCAAAGAAGGGGCTGCTCATGCCACCTCACTCCCACCCTTCTGGGATCCCTCAGATCCCACCTGGCCACTGATTCAGGAGCCTGAGAGAGGACCTGAGGACAGAGGAGGCTGACGCAGGGGCCTGCTCTGCGCGTGAGCCCAGGAGGGTTGTGGAGCGAGCAGCTGTTGGGAGCATGCACAGGACCCTGCCCAGGAGCCTCCGTCAGGCCCGACAGCGCCAGGCCTCAGAGCGCCAGCAGTGAGCACAGGGGGCAGCTCCGCAGGCGGGCCCAGGCAGCTGTGAGCCTGGATGGTCCACAGCGCTCTCTGCTGGTCACGGGCCATCTTCAGTGTCTTCAGGGGTCCTGAGGCTTAATGCCTGGAAACCCGGCACTTGCTGTAGCTGGTGTCTGCAGCAGGAGCAGTCATGTATAGGGGTGTGCCCTTAACCTGTGAAATTTACCTCAATTGAGATACTTAGCATCAGAAAAGCATTGCAGAGTGATTCTCACCCGAGCTTTCTCCGTGCAAGTGAACCGATCCACGCTGTGGAGAGCAGTAGGGGTCTCTCCCAAAGCCTCAGGCGCAGAGCAGGTTCAGATTCTCCCATCCTCCTGTGTGTGCCAGCTCTTTTTCTCTCTCTGCCTCTAACACGGCCAGGCACGTGCATCACGAGAGCTCCGTGCACGTGGAGGTGATGGGAGCTGGGTGAAGTCCAGGTGGATCACGTGTGCACACGTGACTATGGGTCAGGGTGAAGGCCTTGTGTCCCCAGGGAGATCTTCAGTGCCCATCACTGTGTGGGCAGGTCACAAAGGTTGAATACAGACAAAGGTAGCAGGAGTTGGGGATGGTAATCGTGCTATGACTGCACCTGCGGATAGCTCTACAACCTGGAAACTAAAATTCCATCAGGGGCTGGGCAAGTAGCAACAACCTCAGATGTCCATGTACAACTTATAAATGTTCCCCAAACTCCTGAGGAGTTATGTGCCCACAGGGGAACAACTGGCTGGGAATTAGAATCCCCAAATACATAGGAAGATGAAAGCTCTCAAGGCAGGGTTAGGACACCCCCCTCTGAACCGTGAGTCAGGCCAATAGAGACAGGTGGGGCCAGGGCAGATCAAGTGGAGGTTTCTGTCTCACTTCCCCCCTGCCTGTGTCACTGTGGATTACACGAAGCTGCTCCCACTGCCATGGTTTGCCCCACAGTGGTAGTCAGCCTCGTCCTCTTCCTGGATGTTCTGAATGGTCAGGTACCGATCCAGGCCTGAACCTGAGACTGAGAAGCGCTCAGGGATCCCATCCCCCTTGGATCCCACAATACCACTGCTGCCCGCTCGCATCACGAACCGGGGGCCCTTCCCTGGGCTCTGCTGGTACCAGTCTACAGAATAACCACTGTAGCCGCTGCTCAGGGTGCAGGTGAGCTTGGCCGAGGCTCCCCGGGAGGCAGATGCAGAGGGCGGCTGGGTCAGCACGGGCTGGGACAGGGACCCTGGAAACACAGATCCCCCATTAGGGCTCCAGCTGGGGAGCAGCGGTGGGGTGTTGGAGGAGAAAGGGCAGGGGTGGGGGGCTGGGGGCAGGGAGGTGGCTGTCCCTGTCCCACTCTGACCTGTGAGGAGGGCGAGGAGGGCGAGGAGCAGAGGAGCCCAGGCCACGATGGGGACACTGCAGTGCGGGGTTCTTCAGGCCCTCCGCTGAGCCTGGGCCCCCAAGCCTCTTATCCCCTTAGCACGGGCCTGGGCAGGGCATGGCGCTCCATGCAAATCCGCTCCCACCAAGGCTGGTGTTTGCCAAGGGCGGGGCTCAGAGTGGGAGTCAGTCCTCCTAGGGCACAGTTTGTCTCCCCCTAGTGGCCAGACCCTGACCCTCCCTCAGGACTGGGACAAGGCCTCCTGGGTGTCCTGGAAACTTGGGCTCTACTTTCCGTGTCCCAGGTGATCTGCACAAAGCTTTGTCCCTTTGGTGTCCCACAGTGGGATGCAGCCACTTGCTCAGTCAATCCTGGAGCCTGCCCAAGGCACCAAGAGCCCTTCAGCTATTATTCAACAAACACGGGGCTGTGCCCACCCCAGGACGGTCCCTGTCCTTGGCTCTGGCGAGCGGGGGAAAGCAGGAGCCCCATCCCTGCCCTGTGGTTGTCCGGCACTTCTTGGGTGGTGTCCCCCCACAGTCACCACCTGACGTGATAGTGGGAGGACATCCCCCACCCCTGGGGCCTCTGGCCGCCCACTCTGGGCAGGGAGACGAGGTTCCCAGAGTGACTGCGGGTTAACCCACAGATGTCCTGGTAGAAACGGGACCTGTGAAGAGCGGGAGGAGGGGTAAGGAAGCGTGAGAAGCTTTTTATCCTTTTCAGTTCCGCCATCCAAACTTGAGGTTTCTTTCACGTTAGGGCCTTGATAACCAGATCACTGAGATGAACTCATCTGTATTACACTGAAAATAAATATCCCTTAAATCTTACCATTCTCATATTAATATTTTTGTATTTTATTTTGTTCCTGATATTTTATTTTTGTTCATATTTCTGTAGCTTGGTTACATTGCATTTTTACTAAAAAGATAGTATGAGTAAAAACAGACAAGGGAAGACCAACGGGGCATGAAGGTAGTTGGTGGCATATCCACTAGAACTCACTTTCCTTTTCAATCTTTAGGGTTTACTGGGGGCCCAGTGGAGACGTGTCCGATGTATATGTCAGTTCAGCACATAAATTGTCTTTTAGAAGGAGTCACACGCACCTCTCTGGCTCTTGTCCATTCGGACCCCATCGCCTGCTGTTCCAGTTCAAGGCCCTCGTCCAAATTTGTGGTTTCTTCCTATAAGGAGGGTCTTTATAACCAAGTCACTGCAATTAACACATTTTCATGACACTGAAAAGAAACATTTCTTAAATCTTACCATTCTCATCTTTTTGTCATTAATTTTTCAATTGTCTGCCCCATGGTCAGTTGTTAATTTGATTTAAGTTTTATTTTGGAGACTGACTTAGAGGTGTGAGATAATTGTCGCTTGACTCTTGCCTTGGGCCGTCTCAAAGCCCTGGGGCAGCCGTTGCCTGTGTTTCCCTCTGTCTTCCTTGGCCAAGCGCTCGCATTTCTCTCCAGTGTGGGGAGCCCTGCGGAGCTCTGGGACAGAAATCGCAACAGCAGGGACAGGAAAAGGCAAAGGGGACTTGGAGAGAGGCTTTGTGCTTCTCAGGTGACATGTGAGCGTTTGGGTTTGTTCTTTTTTGCCATGGAGGGTGTGGCTGGGACTTTGGGTGCAGCTGGCTGTCACTCCCAGGCCGCCCAGCACGAGCGGAGCACTTCTGGCGGGAGGCTGGGTACCCCGCCCGCCTGGCCAGTCCCCAGCGTCCTTGCTCTGGCTGCAGCGGCAGGATCCTGGAGTGGCAGGTTGCAGGGCGGGCCGGGAAGCTGAGTGTCCCCATCCCCGAGGGTTCTGGATCTTGGAGCCTGTGCCAGCGGAGCGCCCCCTGCAGCCGCACCCTCTCGTCCTTTTAATATTTTCCTTTGATCCTGACAGTTTATTTATTTATTTATTTTTGAGACAGAGTCTCGCTTGGTTGCCCAGGCTAGCGTGAGTGCCGTGGCGTCAGCCTAGCTCACAGCAACCTCAAACTCCTGGGCTCAAGCGATCCTCCTGCCTCAGCCTCCCGAGTAGCTGGGACTACAGGCATGTGCCACCATGCCTGGCTAATTTTTTCTATATATATTAGTTGGCCAATTAATTTATTTCTATTTATAGTAGAGATGGGGTCTGGCTCTTGCTCAGGCTGGTTTCGAACTCCTGACATCGAGCAATCCTCCCGCCTCGGCCTCCCAGAGTGCTAGCATTACAGGTGTGAGCCACCGCCCAGGCCTGACAGTTTGTCTTCCGATATTTCTGAAACGTGGCTTCCTCCCACTATGTGAAATGATCCCCTCTCTGCCAGTCTCCAAAGCTGTGCCCTTAATTCCCCTGAGCTCTCTCCAGTGGACCAGGAGCGCCTTTAGCAGCTGCATTTCCACCATCGGTCTGTTCATGCAGCACTGGGTGCCCCCTGTCACCATGCAGCTGTCCTCTGCCAGGCTCCTCACTGCCTGCTGAGCCCCAGCAGAGCCTTTAGCGTCCACAGTTGTACTAGCAGCAGTTCTGACAATCCAGGCTTTTCTACCAGGTTTCTCAACATTCTTCCAGCCTCTACCTCTTACCAAATTCCAAAACTACTTCCATACTTTTAGGTATATTTTACAGCAGCAATCCTCTTTCACTTATTTCTAGACATTTTCTTTTTCCACTGTGACAAACTATCACAAACTGAGTGGCTCAGGGGAAAAATATATGCCTGTTTAGGGAGACACGGAGGAGGTCGTAGGGATCTGTGCAGGGCAGCGTCTGTGGCTGGGTGGCCCAGGACAGAGGATGGGGCGTGGTTAGCACCCGAGGGCCACGCACTTTATCCTCTAGATGTTTGAGGGTATTCATGTCTAAATCTATATCTATCTAGATAGGTACATATTTAATAAAAAGGAAGGGAGAGAGAGAGAGAGAAAAGTACCAGGCTTCTGTTCAGACAACTGTCACAGAATAGAAATCGGACTTAGGTCAGAAGTCACCTGAGGAGGGACAGTGTATGTCTCATGGAACAGGACAGCTGCACGGGGCAAGAGCAAGATCTGTTCGATGCAGAGCATTTCATTCTCCAGCGCTGCTGGCCAGCTAAATTTGCCGTACATTTCAAAGAGAGGATCAAATCCAACTCTAAGGCTTACATTTTCTGTGACTGAGAAAGTGGACATGTCATAAAGGCAGACAAAGCATATTTATTTTTATTTTTATTTTATTTATTTTTTTTGAGACAGAGTCTCGCTTTCTTGCCTAGGCTAGAGTGAGTGCCGTGGCGTCAGCCTAGCTCACAGCAACCTCAATCTCCTGGGCTCAAGCGATCCTCCTGCCTCAGCCTCCCGAGTTGCTGGGACTACAGGCATGCACCACCATGCCCGGCTAATTTTTTTTTATATATATATATTAGTTGGCCAATTGATTTCTTTCTATTTTTATAGTAGAGACGGGGTCTCGCTCAGGCTGGTTTTGAACTCCTGACCTTGAGCAATCACGTGACCAGTCCATTCTGTACTCCTTGAAATGATCCTTTCTTCAAGGCAAGGAGGGTTGGAGAGTTGTCTTGTCTTGACATGCTTTTGATAAACAGTACATTCTTACTGAAGCGGATATCATATTCATTTCCAAACTGGAAGGGATAACTCATCTCTTCAAAGACTCACCCCTTATAATATGCTTTGTCTGCCGGGCGCGGTGGCTCACGCCTGTAATCCTAGCACTCTGGAGGGCCGAGGCGGGCGATGCTCAA